AGGACCACCTACTCCACAAAGGAATCACGGTCAAGTCGGCCATGAGACGCTCGTCGGCAACGACAGCTTCAGCTTCTTCAACGGCCTCACCCGAACGGATCGTACACGGAGGCGGACCTGGCGACGGCGAAGGAATTGGCTAGCAAGGCTGAGTACACCATCGCCGTGATCAGCGAGGACACGTACGCCGAGAAACCTGGTGACATCGACGACCTGGCGTTGCCCGCTGGTCAGATTGAGTACGTGAAGGAGCTGGCATCCACAGGTACGAAAGTGATCTTGGTGTTGTTCGAGGGTCGTCCACGTCTGCTTGGTGACCTACCCGAGACCGTGCACGCGGTGGTGAACGGTTTGTTGGCATGTGAGCTGGGTGGCCAAGCCATGGCCGAGATCATCTACGGCAAAGTAAACCCCAGCGGCCGCATGCCGATCACGTACGCGAAGGACCAGGCCAACATCCAGATGACGTACAACCACCCTGTGACGAGCATGTGCCAGACGCAGGAGTCCGACGGTGCTTATTACTGCGAGAATCAGTGGGATTTCGGAACGGGTCTCAGCTACACCGAGTTCACCTACTCTGAAGTGCGTCTGAGCCGCAACGTCGTCACGTCTTCGGCGGAAGACGTCGTAGTGTCTGTGGATGTTACGAACGCTGGTAGTGTAGCCGGTAAGGAGACCGTCATGCTCTTCCTCATCCAGCCATACAACTTGCTGAATGTGCCGGAGATGAAGCAGCTCAAGAAGTTCTTCAACATCAGTCTCGAGCCTGGCCAGACACAGAACGTCAACTTCACACTCACATCTGACGACTGGAGTGTTTACTACCCACAGGTGGGTCACGGGCTCAAGAAGGTGGCCGAGGACTGCGAATACGTGGTGGCCATCAAACCGGAGACGGACTGCGACGTGTACAACGAGACGGCCGTGGCCAACCCGCTCTGTGCAACCTTCTCACTCAACACGGGCGAGTATCCGTTCGGCACGTTCGAGGAGCCGTGGTAAGCAGGAGACGTACTAGATAAGTGTTTGTGTCCACGCTGGCCGCTCTCAATCATTTCTGACAATAACGGATTGTTTCAATCTTCGATACTCTTATAAAAAAATGTTTTAAGAAAATCTTTAGCAAAACCATCTCGTCTTCATCCGCATTGTACGAGTTCCGGCCAAGTGAGTTCCGACGCATTAACTCGTCGAAGTAGCTTAAACTTTCCCGTGTACTCGTTGTGATCTCCCACCACGACTACAGGCAGAAGAACGACCTGCCGCGGACGCAAGAGCGATTGATAATAAGCCAATTCAGTCGATGGATCTCGCCCAAGTACAGTTCGCAGATACGCGATAGGGTCACTCATTAGCACGGCGTTCATGAATGCAACGTTCGCTTCGACATCATCGGATCGGCCATGTAAACACTTCATTTGATGCTGGATATACCAGAAAGTATTCATATGAGACCGCGTGAAACACAAGTATACTAATCAACCTAGGTACGAATCGCGATTTAGGCGCACCAACACAAACCTATGTATCTTGGCTTCGTTTTGAGCCCTTGCACACCTTCGGACACGAGATATTGACGAAGTGGTGAGCCTCTGGAAAACTTACCTCGGTGGATGACCAACTTTTTCATTTTTTTTTATTGCAGTGTCTGAGCCGTAGAATCGCGTGGTGCTATTCGTTTCGGCTAAAACGCAGTAGAAAGTGTCTAAAACCGCATTTGTGTGATCAAATACGAGTGAACCCATGTGTATAATCTGAAAAAAAAGCCTAAATTTAGTGATGGACATCAGTATCATTTTGATTTAGGCGGGACATTTAGGCAAACTCACATTACAGCATCCCCAGTGCACGCAGCTTTTCGCTTCTTAGTGTTTCTCGTTTGATCTTCGTCATCCTGCCTACCGCGTTTGTCTTGGTTCTCTCTCGCGGTCACTGCCATTGCCGCTCGGTGCTCTCGACGAGCTTGTTTGGCGGCTTTAGCACTGTCCCCTTGCTGCTTACTTGGAGCTGCGTAGATTGCATCTGACTGATACTCGTCTTGCGCGTCACCTTGTGGCGTTACGGTGAGATGGCCATCTAGCTTCCTACGCAGATCCTTCTC